AGATTTTATGGGCTTACTTTTTTAAAGCATTTTCTTTTTACATAAAACTTTTTATTGTTGACTTGTTTTTCCTATTTCATCAGTTCACTTCAACTTACCTGATTAATTCTTAACATTTGTATCTAGAAAGTGTTCATTAAATATTATAGTATTGATTTAATTTGACAGAATTATCTCAAAAAAATTGCTAGGGCAATTTCACAGTAAGAGTAGCACTACAAAGTGGGAATATATGTGTCCCTATAGATCTATCACTGGTGTTTTTATGGGATGATGATGTACAAGGCATTGTTGTTATAGCCACCTCCTTCATCCTTAGCTTTCAGATAACCCAATGAGACAAAACCTAACTTGTTATTCATTGATTGTTTAAATATAGGCAAAACACAACGTGTATGTTAAATACAATTATTTAGTCATTAGAATAGCACTTATTGAGCATATGCTATATATGCCAGGCACTCTTCTAAGCACTTGAGAATCATCAATAAACAAAACAAAGATTCTCACCCTCGTGGAACTTACATTCTCACCAGGGAAAGTAAAATAAACAATAAATAAGTAATTTATATAGTATTCAATACAGTAGAAATTGATATGTGTTATAGAAAAAAGTAAAGGATCAGCAGTATCTGAAGAAAGATTTTATGAACATCATTGGAGCCAAGCATATTACCATAGTGATGTCTGTTAAACATTAAGCAGAGCAATGAGGAAGGTGCGAATAGAGCCAGACAGATTTCTAGATCTAAGTAGGACTAGCCTGGAATTTAGTTCTGTATTGAGCATTACGTGCAGGGCACTCTGATTTACTCTAAAGGAATGTAGTTATCAAAGAAGAATCAGACATTTCCTAGTTGCCCTCAAGAACCTACCATAATCTAGTAAGGGAAGACAGGCATGTAAACAATTAGCTGAATAACACAAGTTCTAATTAGCCATATATGTGTATGGTTGCTGAAAGGGAGAAGCAATTAATTCTGCCTGGGGGATCTATCAGGGAAGCAGAAAAAGTGTAGCCTGAGCAAATTTTGACAATGAGTGAGATGTTTGGCAAAGTATGACAAAGACTTTTTCTCAGAAATTGGCTTGCAAATAGAAAAGATTCATGTGACTACGCCGGAGAGTACAACTACGTACAATTAGTGAAACAAAGGCCACAGCGCATAGAATTTCAGATCTCCTGGCTGATCTTTCCAGTATTTGTCTGCTAAGTCTTTAAATACTATATTTGAAGGGACAAGAATTTTGAAAATGATGAAGCAGAAAGAAACTGAAAATAAGACTAAGGAAAACAATTTAATAAGGAAAAGAGGCAGTAAAGAAATTATTTTGGATTATTTGATAAAATAGTGATAGATTCAGAGATCAGAGAAAAAGATATTATTGCCAAAATAAGAAAAAGAATGAATGTTTTAAGAGACTTAGGTAACACTAACCATAACTCAGTTGCAGTCTAGAATAAAGCAGTAGTTCCCCATTGGCTGGTTCAGAGCTACAGTGCTTGATATTGAATATCTCTGCTTTTCCTTAGTTCAGTTTGCCTGTGAGTATTTGCACTTGTAAAGGAATGACCTGTTTTTCAGTTCGGTTATTGCAATATTTTTTCTTTTTCTTCTAATGTCATTTATCTGAATTGAGAAATGTGCTGATTCCAAAATATATTTTACTACATTTCTTGGTTTTGTGAAAAAAAGCGATAGAACAACTGATGTTCATTTTTCTAGGAAGTACTATGGTAAAGCTTAGTTTAGTAAAACTTGTTAAGTTCACAGTAAACATTTACATTTTATAAAAGCTGTCAGTAGCTCTTCATTTAATATAAGAAGTTGAACCTGTGAAACAAAGGCTGTGCCAGAAGATTTTTTTAATACAAAGAAATTAAAATGGATTATGTAACTGCTATTTAACTTAAATCTATACTCCAAGTATAGATCTCCCATAGTTTAATCTTTAAAAGATTCATAGATGGATATAACGTATAAAAAGGAAAGACTTTAGGCTTCTTTTTTTAACAAAGCTTTTTGCTCCACTTCATGTTGTGTATTTCTATATCATTCTGCCTACTGTTAATGAAATATATATTCTCTTTTTATTAAAACATATCAAACCATCTTAGTGTGTTAGCATATAGAACCATTTTAGTAAAAGTACCCTGCTAGAACCTTGCTTTAAAATCATATAATGTACCATTAATATTGCCATAATGATAACCAGAAATTTCTATCACTCATCCAGCTGTTACAGTTTTTATTTGAATTTTGTTTTAATGTGAATAAAAGAAAATAAAAAATTCTCATTGTCATTGGTCTTTTCATATTACTCTTCAGTTTATCAGCTTAAAAAGTACCTTAGAAGTATTTTTCTTATTAAAAAAATAACAAATTTGGACTTTGTTTGTTCTTTTGTTTCTTCTGCAGAAAATTTTGAAGTGCAGAGATTTATTGGTCTGTGACATGCAGGGCACCTTACTATGCATTGGCAAGGCCTTTATTGCCCAAGTTTGATCACTGCTCTTTGAAACCATAAAAAACAGAGAATTGAGGGAAGGTGACAAAGATGAAGAAGGAATGAAAAATAAGCTTTTTAAGGAAGAATTAGATTTGTTTAGGTTTAAAAGGAGAGGAGGGTACAATGCAAATAGTGCTCACTGGATTGAGAGTTAAGATAGCTGGTTTCCAGGCCTGGCTCTCCAGTGAATAAGTGAGTCACTGTAGATAAATGACTTCACTGTCTCCTAAACTGTGAAAGGAGGGGATCTGACTAGATTGGGGTCAGCTAGTATTTTAGGCTTTGCAGGCCATATGGTCTGTGTCGAAACTATTCAACTCTATGGTAAACAGCTATTTAAACAAAGAGGCAAGGCTGTGTTCCAGTAAAACTTTATGCGACAGGCCAGATTTCATCCACAGGCCATAGTTTGCTGACCTCTAGCCTAGATGGCCTTTAAAACGTCTTTTACATCTGCGTTCTGTGATACTGCTTTATTATCAACATCACATAGTAACGGAATTGCTGTTCAGTTATTTTCTATGCTATCTCAGCCAGGGGCTAGCCAGGAGACAGAAACCACACAGATATTTTAACAGAAGATGTTATATATAAAGAATTGTTAACTAGGTTTTAAAGAACTGAAAAGGTAAAAGAGAACACTGAGATATCATGCACTTAACAACTTCAGGAAGCAGCTACCACTTCTGAGCCTGTAAACGAGAAGAGGTTGGGATGATTAAACCATAGAAGCTTGGGGGAGAGGCCCCACAAAGCTGAAACAAACATCTCTGCGAAGGGGCCATGCTCAGCTGATGCTAATATTTCTGAGCTCCAAGGAGGGCTCTGTGGGGACAGGACTTCTGGGGGCTGCCCACCCCCCACCTTTTTTTTTTTTTTGGTAGCTACACACATATGGATAAAGAACCTAGCAAAAGAAAATAGACTTTGGTTAAAACAGGAGGGATTGTATGAAACATAAGAAAGAACTAATTCACAGAACCACATTAGAACCAGTGGGGATGGTGTAATTGTCCCCAGTGTTTTTAAATAAGAGATTAGAAAGTTATCTATTCTGGATAGTTTTAATTTCAGAATGCAGAAATCGAGATCATCTTTTATTCTTCTGATATTCTCTTCCTCTCTCTGGTGTGTCATGTGTCATTTGGCTTCCCTTTCTTGGTTTAAGTTCCCTGGACTAGCTTTCAAAGACTTTTATTTCCTTATAGAAACTATATGTATAATTTGGATTAATTCCTTTTGTGTGGGTTTCCAGTAGATCCAGGTAAATAAGACAGTTGGGGTAATTGAAGGGTGAGGGGAATATACGTCTCTTGCACTTGTTCTTATTCTTTTCTCTCTTCCTCTCCCTCTCTTCGATTTTCTCCATCTTTTCTCTCTCTTTTTCAGCTCATGGAGCACTTTGTAACTGACTTTGTGCCATTCATCATAGCCCTCTTTATGTTATTGTTATGTCTTACCTTGACTGAGGATGTGGACGTTGCTTCACTGGAGCTCCGCAGCCAAGAGTGATCTCAGTTTGCTTCCTTTCACCCACTCCAAAATGTCCCAGAGGTAGACTAGCAATGAAGCCAGCGAGGGCACCAAGAACAGAGCCTGGCACACAGGAGTCTCTCAGTAAATAATTGTCATGGAATTACTGAACTAACCCCCAGCACAGTATCTTACATAGTTGGCAACAGATTGAATTAACGGTTTAATTAATCACGTATGAGCTCTAAATAACCATTTTCTGATGGAAGTTTGGGGGTTTTTTTCTTTCTTGTTAAAAGCTTTTTGTCTTCAGCACTTCCTGATTCTTGGACTCAGTAGCTCTCAGTATGTAGCAGTGCCGTTTTACCCCCATCTTCTGCCATTTTCTCTTTCTCTTTCGTGGCTAGGTTAGGGGTTAAAGGATTTATAGACGCAGTGGGAAGCCGCTGTTACTTGACCTTCATCTTCAGAGAGCAACAACACGTTCTTTGGAATTCATGGACATTGGCAGTTCCCTAAATGCTATTTGGCAATTCTCTGTCCGTTGTCCCAGGTGCCCGCCTTTCCATTATATACATATATATACACACGTGAAAATTGTTTTTAGGATGTTTTCATATTTCATTCTTTACCGTGAATGGGAAATGTTGAAAATAGAGCTTCATGGTTCTTTTCTAGCTTAATATAATTTGGAACAGATTTCTCCACTGATGTTTATACAGATGGGATTTGTGACCCAAAAGAAGCAAAAACTAATAATCCTTGTTGTCAGGTACTAATGTGTTTGCCAACTTGTTGCTAGTATTCTCTATAAGCTCAGGCACTTGATAGTAGTGAAGGAGCCACAGACAACTCTTGACATGTTTTCCTGGCACATGTTCCAGACACTGATGAGGACTTTGAGTTGAGCAAATTCTCAGTAAATGTATCTGCTCTGATTCCGAAGTCTGGAGATACAGACTAACTGACAGTTTTCTAAACTTAGGTATTCTGACTAAACTCTTCTGTCTTATCAGCCACAAGCTCCACCCACTTGGAGGACCTCGCTTACCTGGATGAGCAGAGACATACACCTTTGAGAACTTCTCTTCGAATGCCAAGACAGAGCATGGCCGGTGCTCGCACACAACAGGATTTAAGAGGTTAGAACCACAAGAGGGCTTTGCATGGGGATGCCCAGGGGAAAATGGAAATGGGCAGTAGGCAAAAAGTTCCTTTGTTTCCAATTTCCACACCTATTTAAGCCTCCCTTAAGTGAGCATGTAACCAGTTCATTTCTGCTGAATCTAGAGAGAAAGATGAACACAAATACGTTGTACTCATCATCATAGAAAGGCAGTGTAATTACCAACAGTTGGAAGCATTGATTCCTTGAAATTCTGAAAGAAAACAAGTGGAAAGGGCTGGGGTTGATGGGGGAAATAACCTTTTTAAGGTCCTGGATTTTAGAAGTAATTGTTGACCAATTTCAGCCCTAGCCCTATTGCCGGTGGATTTGAAGCTGCTAATTTGTTTCACTAGAGAATGCATTTCATTTACATTCTAGTGGCCATTTCTAGTGACATACAGTACTTTTATTTTCTTAGAATTTTAGTGCTTCTAGTCCTGTCCTGGCAACATCTAAACAACTTATCCTTTTCCCATTCAGACACCTGTTTTTTGTGCATGCTACATGCTTCTGCAGTCAGGAACCTGATGTTTTTGAAGACTTTTCATTTTGTTATAACCACAGTCTAGTTGAGAGGCCTGTTATTGGTGTCTCTGCTTGTGCCTCTTGTTTGTTCAAGTGAACCAAACTGTCTGTGATAGTCTTAACAGATGGTCTGCTTTCTCTAGTATCTAGTAATCCATAGCTCTACTACATCAGGTGCATTATTTATTTTATCTTATAGATTATTTGCATCTTTGCTCTTCTCCTCACCCCTTTTCCTGTGCCCTACTCTATCTAATCTGTATAGTGCCACATGCATAACTCACACAGGAAGGGACTCAAACATGCCTGCTGTCCATTCTGGAAGTCATTATGCTGACCGTTTTTCACTGATGGCTCAGAAACTAGGAGCATAAGATAATTAGTTGTATTGCTACAATTACCATACCTCCCATCAAAGTGGTGAGTTGATGGCCTCAGTCATGGTTTTAGTTCCCAATCCTATCCATCCTGCTTGCCGTTTCTTCAGTTAGCCACATCTTAGTTGCTTATCCCAGAAAGTGGAATTATGTCAAGTATTACTTTAGTGCTGCTATACTGATCATGTCCAAAGCCTGAATAAATTTATTCAAAGGCCAACTAAATTATTTGTGCCATGACCAGAAGGCATAATAAAGAAGATGGGATATAACTATTGATCTATATAGACCTTCAGATTTGATTGAAAATCTGCCACATTGGCATCACCTTGCATTGCATTACTGAAAAACATACTGACATTGTTGATTTTATTTTCTGCTTTGCTAGTCATTGAATAATGGATTTTATACTACATCAAAAACAAAATAAATGACAGATTCCAGCTATGTATTTTTGAGAACTCTTCATGTTGGGTTTTATTGATACTTGATGACACATGTTTACTTCCAGTATCTAAAGATTTTAGTAAGGTCTTCGACAGATACATTCTGGTGACCTTGATGTTTACACATAGATATCAGCTGTGTATAGAATACAACGAAAATCTTTTCCATTTCACTGAGCTTCAGCCTAAACATTCAGCAAAACCAAAGTGCCTCCAAAGATTTTTCCAAAGCATACCTAAATCTTTAGGAAGCTCTCCACCTGAATAATGCATTCCTAACAAAACTAATTTCATATCCCTTGCAGATGGGGTTTCAACTTACTGCTTACATTAATACTTAAAGATGGAGTTTGTCTGTTGATGAGTGTGCTATGGTATTAGTGTTTCAGTTCCTTAAAGCTGTCTTTTCTTTCAATAAGTTTTCTTTTAGCAGTCCAAAGGGTTGGAACATGCCATCCAGTTGAGTGTATTAATCCATAAGAGACAGGGTGTTTACTAAGTATTTTATCTTCTAAAATTAGCATACTTTTATTTAGAACTTTGAAGCCCTAGACAATAACCTTCCCTCAAAAACATGTTATCTTGATTACTATTTACAAATGAACTCTGTAGCTTAGACATTAACAAGAAAGGAAAGCAAACTTGGACAGATTTTCCTTGTGTTTCTGTAGACCTGTTTGGCAAGCCTTTATAATTTGTGGTTATTATATCCAAAACAGTACACTTTACTATAGAAACAGAATCATATTGTTTTCCTGGTATAATTTTAAAAAATCATGTCACATCATGTTTTCTACTTTTATTTTAAGGAACATACAAATTGCAGTCATATTTCAGTTTTATATCTTCTGCTAACTCTGGTTATGATTGAAGTAAAACAACTTTACCCCAGAAAAGTAATAAAGTGATTGAAAACTTTTTTAGTGTACATTAAGGTATCTCTTTCTACATTAGAGGTATATCTTTCTGTATTTTAAAGTATAACTCAAACAAGTCCTATGAAATAGTTTTTAAATCACAATTCCGGTTTTAAATGACCCTGGATCTTCAGAAGAAGGTAGTTAATGGTCATGTACACTGTAGTATATCCAGTGGGTACTAAATTAACTGACTGATTTCAAGTGCAGAGATTATCTGAAGTAAAATCACTGTGATATATGAAGAGATGGCAAGCATTTATTGGGCCCTTCATACAGGCAGTCCTGCACTATTTTGTTCAGAGCTGTGGTTCTCAAACTTTTTGGTCCCAGGACCTCTTTCCACCTTAAAAAATTATTGAGGACCCTAAAAAGCTTGTGTTATATGAGTTGTATTGATTGATATTTACCATATTAAATTAGAACTGATAAATTGTTAAAATACCTATTCTTTTTTTTTTTTTTAATAGTAGACACATTAAGTGTTAATGTAAGCTCTGGAAAATTCCACCCTACCCTTGTGAGAGAATAAGAGTGGAAAAAGACAAATAATCTCTTAATATTATGAACATAGTTTTGCCTTTGTGGACCCGCGAAAGTGTCTTGAGAAGCCCCAGGGGTCCCAATATCACACTAAGAAAGACTGGTTTAGAGGATACCATTGTAACTGAAGATAAGTTTTATGCCTTTAAGGATCACGCAGCCTGTTTACAGAAATGTGGAAAAGTGTAGTTTGAGAGTTGGTTAGAAGTTATTCATGAACATGGTTTAATAGTACAGGCATAGTTCATTTAACAGTTATCTTAATAATAACTGCAGTTGTTTGATCATAATAATAGTCTTTTGACTGCTGAAGCAGAAGTTGCTGAGGTAACCCATGAGCTACAGTTTGGATCTTCAAGTTCAGTATTAACATTTGCTTCATTAGTAAAAAGTCTTTTTTTTTTTTCTTTTTAACTTCTCAAGACAGCTGTTTTGAACAACTGTTCTCCCAAAATTGATGTTTCCAGAGACCCAGCCCAACAGTGGGGAGGAGGTCACATAAGTGCACTGTCCAGGATTTTAGTGCAGCAAGTCAGTAGATTTCTAGCTGTCAACCATCCAAGAGCTTGAGCTCTAATGACAAAATAGTTACAGTAGATTGTGTCCTAATGCAGAGTATACAGCTAGTTAACCTACTACATGTGCCTTTTAAGTCCCAAAGCCTAATGTCCTTGACAGATATTAATTTGAAATCTTAAAGTTTTTAAGTCAAGTTTTTAAAATTATTTTCAGGGTCCATTTTTAATTTAATCACCTTGTGTAAATGTGGAGTCATGCTAGACCTGAAACCTCTCACTCTCTCTGACCACCTTAATGGAATCTCTTTTTACCCAGATAAAGAAAGAAACTGTTTACTGTCCAGTAAAAGGGAAGAAGAGGATGTTGGTTTTTATGGATAAATGTAATAAATCTGAAGAAAGAATATATAAATGCAACCAGGGGAAGTTAAAATACACAAAGCAGGGCTTCCCTGGCGGCGCAGTGGTTGAGAGTCTGCCTGCCGATGCAGGGGACACGGGTTCGTGCCCCGGTTCGGGAAGATCCCACATGCCGCGGAGCGGCTAGGCCCGTGAGCCATGGCCGCTGGGCCTGCGCGTCCGGAGCCTGTGCTCCGCAACGGGAGAGGCCACAACAGTGAGAGGCCCGCCTACCGCAAAAAAAAAAAAAAAAAAAATACACAAAGCAAATCATAGCATAATGACTTTGAATAGTAGCTACTTGGGGTAAATTAACAACAGATCATTATTGCTAAGACTCTGGAACCTGCCTGATGTGAAATCATCATCACAGTATTCTGCTTAAAGAGATTATACATTCCTAATTAAAACTTCATTTCTCAATATGTGTTGGTTTCCTTAGGACTTTTACTAAATCCCATTACATAAATGGCCATTTGCAGGCATTGGATTTAATTAATAGCTGCTTTAATAGATACTAGGTTGGGGCGTATGTGCAAATGATGGTCTGACTCATTGGCAGAACTGATGTGAAATTGACCCTGACAAAGTTCACTTGGCTTTGTCAAAGCAAAAAATTGAATTTTTATCAAATAAAATCAGTGTTTCATGCCATTTGCGAGTCCCCTACTTTTCCAAAACAATGAATCCTTTCTGAAGATGGCTAAGTTGTATGTCATGAAGCTAATAATCTTGCATTAGCCTACTGAGTCATACATCCCTGAGGTTGCTTAGTCATCTTGATCATTGCCTGGCTAGCTCTCACATTTACAAGGGAATATTTCCATCAGTCTTTTCTGTCTCACTGGTCATTGTTTTATTTTTCCAAGATAAAATTTCTTTCTTTTTAGGTAAATCGAAAATCCAGAAATAAAGTTGCATGCACATAACTGCCTATATATAAATATTAGGATAGATTGTAAGCTTTAGTTGTAGGAGGTGATCCTCTCACCTCCAGCCAGCTCTTTTGCAAAGTACCCTAAAATTTTAAAATGCAGTACTCAAACTGGATGTCTTTGTCTGCTAGAAAACTGATTTATACATTTTGGAGTAGTCTAGCTGTAGTTTTTTAAAGCAGATCACTACTTGTTAAAGTAGCTCCAGATCAGTACCCAGATCTGGTTTTTATATAAACCAGCTTTAGTTGGTAAATCTGTCTTAAAATTTGAAGGCACAAACAGTGGCTAATATACAACCGAGTTCCTCCACA